GTGGCGCGGCCCCCCCCCCCGGGCTCACCTGGCTACCCGCAGGTCTGGAGACACTTCTTTTTAGTGCCGAACCGGTTCCCGTTGCCCCGGCAGCCCCCGTAGTTAAATCTCAAGCACTGGCCGGTGGCGGCATTGTAGTAGAAGCTGGGCCCGTAGGCCAGGCAGGGGCCGGGGGCCACCGGGAGAAAGCAGATGCCTGCAGCCCGGAGCAGACGGGCAGTGAGAAGGCGGCAGGAGCTGCGTGCGATCGCAGCCCCTTCCCTCCGCTCCAGCCGTGGGGTCTCCCTGCCCCGCCCTGGGACCCCCTCCGGGAGCAGCACCAGGGTCTCCTGCAGCTCCAGGGCTCGGGGCCAGGGGCCCTGCACGTCCCGTCCCAGCCCGAGCGGCTCGGCCATCACTCCCCGTCCTGCCCCCAGCTTGCTGCCCGCTGGCCCGGACACACGCCTGCTCACAGGGGAGACCGTTCCTGGTCCCGGGCACCCCCAGAGCCCAAGCCTCCCACCTGCCGGCGCAGCATCGTAGTGGTCCTGGCGGCTGCAGGGGAAGCAGCGACCGGGGCCCTGGGGGAGCCTGCGGACGTCTGACCCAGAGCAGAGATGGGCACAGAGGGGAGAGCAGAGGCCCTGCTGGGATTGCAGCCCCTCGCCCTCTCCCCCAGCCGGGCCTGGGTCTCTGCGCTGGGACGGGTCAGGCAAGGGGTCACGGGGCAGCAGAGGGATCAGGAAAAGGGTCAAAAGTCCTTGTCCCCCACCCCATCCTCTGCCTGGCTCGACCTCAGCACCTGGAGCCACCTGGCGATGTCCAGCGGCCGCATGACTCACTTGGCCTCACCCTGCTCCGATCCTCCAGCCATCGCCCTGGTGCCGCGATGCCTCTCGCAGCGTCCGGCCTTGGCAGGCTCAGCCCCAGAAGGCCCCACCTGCACGTATTCAGGCACTGCTGGAAGGTCACAAAGTTGTTTCTATTGCCAGGACAGCCGCCGTAAATGAACGTTTGGCAGGTCCTGATGGCCGGGTTGAAATAGAAGCGCACGAAGGTCCTGTTGCAGGGGCCGTGGTCCTTGGGGAGCCTGCAGAAAGCTGACCCAAAGAAGAGATGGGCAGTGACGGGGGGCAGGAGCCCTGCCCGGGATTGCAGCCCTTCGCCCTCCCCTCCAGGCCAGCTGCATCCCCTCCAGTCGTGGCCGCAGCACAGCATGTACATCTTGCAGCAGCCAGGGCCCTAGGCAGCTGGTGACATCCTCTGGGGAGATGAACGTGGGTCACCGGACAATGCCCTCCAGCGTGGCAGCTCCCACCCACCTGCCCAGGGCTCACCGGCCCCGGGACGGGGAGGCAGAAGGCAGGGGCTGGGGCATGTTTGGAGGCTCCGGGCTGGGGTCAGGGGGAGCGCTCACCTGGAATGAACTGCCCCGACGCAGGCTGCAGCCCGGCCCAGAGGGCGAGGAGCCCTGCCAGCAGGAACAGGCTAGCCCCACCAGCAGGAACAGGCTACCCCACTTCATGGTGCCGTTGTGCCGCCGTGCCCAGCGCCAGGCTATATACCGTCACCCAGCCCGGGAGCGGGGGGACCTTGCACAACGCCCCAGCTCGGCCCCCGCCCCTGCCAGGGGCACCGGGAAGGTTGGGAAACAGCCCTGCATCTCTGCGCAATGGGGCCGGGGCCGTTAACGGCTGGCACGTGGGGCGCACGCGCTCCCTGCTCTGCCCCTTCCCGCAGGGCCGGTCCCAGGCAGCACCTCAGGGGCTCTTGTGTTAGTGTTGAAGGACAAAAGGAGCCTGGGGCAGGGCAAAGACCAGCTCTCCGCTGCCCTTCCTTGCACGCAGCCTTGCAGCCGGGGACCGTGGGTGCCGGGGACCGAGGGTGCATCACCCCGCCAGGGTCTGGCCAGCTGCATGGGGGCTGCTGTGGGCAGCTTTCCCAGGCACGGGTGTAACAAGGGCAGGACCTTCCATTCCCAGAAAGCGCGTCTACATGAGACGCTTATTACAGAGCTGCCCAGTTATCTCCGCAGTCAATGTCTCCGCGTCTACCCGTGTGGCCCTACTAGCACGCGCACGGCTAATGAACTCCTCAACAGACCTGTGCGTGTGAACACAAGTCCTGCCCTGCTCCAGAGACTCCTCGTGCGCAGCAGCGTGCATGTGGAGGGGCCTGGGGCACGAGGGCACACAGTGCGGGGGCTGCCGTGGGCCCGCCTCGCACTGAGGGGTTGGAGCAGCCCTGGGCTACTGCTAGCTGGGTAGCTACGACCCGGCCCATGTGCCACGCGTGAATAAACTCCAGAGCTTATTGCCACCGAGCTTTTTGCTCCGGGGTACATGTTCAAATGGCACGCCCAGGAGCAAAAAACACTGTGGCAACAATCCCTGGATTTTATTTGCGAGCATTAATTGCATTAATTGCATGTGTAGGCGAGCCCAGAGTGTTGTATGGAGGTGGAGCAGCCACCGCTGCAGCACAGGGACATCGCGGAGCAAAGAGCGGAGCTGGAGAGCGTGGGGGCGAAGGCATGACCCGTGCCATGGGGTGCGGGGGCTGCAAACAGCTCAACCCGTCCCGGGCAGGGAGGAAGCAGCACAATCCCCTGCTTCTCAGTCGGCTCAGACCTGCCCCTGGGCACGAGTCTGTGGCAGGGAGGGGTCCCCGTCCCCTGCTCCCCGGGAGAGCCA